GATGGGCTGATCGGGAGGTCGCTGGTGCGGTTCCAGGATAGGCAGGGCTTTGTGTGCTACAAGGGGGAGATGGAGAGGGACTTGGAGGGTTTTCCTGTGGTGACGCTACACCTGGGAGAAGGGGCCCAGATAGACATGGAAGTGGGGGCCATGTTTCAGAGGAGGCATCGGGGGCGTTCTGCCTGGTGGTGTCGAAGACTGCGGGGGTAACATTATAGGTGTGATGGCGCAGCAAGACTACAACGTGGGTTTCGATTTGGATGGGATGAGGATTAGTTTTCAGAGGATTGACTATGAGTTGCTTGAGGATTTGGATGGCATCCTCAAATAACTCACAGTCAATCCTCTGGAAACTAATCCTCATCCCATCCAAATCGAAACCCACGTTGTAGTCTTGTTGCGCTATCACACCTATAATGTTTACCCCGCAGTCTTCCACACCGCCAAGCGGAAAGCCCCCAATGGCTCCTCTGAAACATGGCCCCCACTTCCATGTCTATCTGGGCCCCCTCTCCCAGGTGCAACGTCACCACAGGAAAACCCTCCAAGTCCCTCTCCATCTCCCCCTTGTAGCACACAAAGCCCTGCCTATCCTGGAACCGCACTAGCGACCCCCCGATCAACCCATCCACCTATGCCACCAGCGCCTCGTATCCGCCTCGTATCCGCCTCGTATCCGCTCTCCCTCAGGTCCGTCAGCGTTAAACTCGAACTCGTCCCTCTTGATGCTCAGCGGCTTCCCCCCGACGCTTATCCCCTCCAGTGTGACCGAGTAGAGGCCGTTCACCATCCGCATGGGGGTCGAGTCTCCCTGGATCACTGCCCCCAACACCAGCTAGTTGTGCGCGTACCCATGGTCCCGCAGATCACCGATACAGTATGAGAACCTGCTCGACAGCCGGGCCGCCAGGTGGTATGGGCTCTGAGCCACCATCCCGAGAACCCCACCCAGGGCGCTGGTCCTGCCGCCTGTGTCGGTCGTGCACCCGAACATGACGTCGAGGACCTTGCGGAGCCCGCTATCCGACGTGGCGAGGGTAAAGGTATCGCGGGCGATGACGCCGGAGCTCCACATCCCGTCCTCGTACACAGTGGAAAAGCGGCAGTCGGGACCCTCCTGGAAGGTGCCGAGGGTGAAGCTGAAGCATTTGGGGGAGATGCTGGGGATCTTGGCGTAGGTGATGGAGCGGTCGGGATTGAAGCCATAGGGGCAGCCGAAGCAGCAGCAGACCCAGACGAAGTTACTCCCGGTGTCCATGGCCAGAGAAGGTGTGAAGAGGGGGTTCCCCGATGAAGACATTTACAAGGAAGAGGGCTAAGTCATATGCAGCAAAACATGGGCTCTCGGATGGATTCGTCCTTACCGTCGTCGTATGGAGGGAAAACGGAGTGGCGGTAAATGAGGCGGAGATGAATGGTGGCAGACGTGTTTCTGGCGATGGCAACGAGTGATAATAAGACGATGGAGAGAAAATGCCATGTATATTTGTTATGTTTGGTTCACAGTATTTTGTGAAGGAATCAGTGAGATGCATGCTTTTAAATGGGGATTTATATTAGGGTAGGTAACTGGTACTTTAACTAGATGTCAACAATATTGTTAGTTGTAGAGGAGATGACGTATCTACACTATATAAAGAAAAATACTCGACTCTTGGCATATGATCATTATGTGTGCCAAATGCAACTAGCATGATGAAAGCAGCTTGCATAATAAAACATCCGACTGAGTGAAACCCAGAAAAAGTGTCTTGGTTAAGAATCTATCTTAGGGATAAACTGTACCTTGAGAGTTTTCATTGTGATCAACTCTTAAGAATCTATCTTCCCTGCATTTATCATTTTTGCAATTTTCTCTAAGCCAACAGGCTGCAAAAGTGAAGGATACTAATTTCAGTGGCATCAATGAAAACTTTTGGGACTAAAAGGCTATGTTGCTGTTGCAAAGAAAACTTTTCCTGATATACTTAAAAGATAAATTGTGAATCATTAAGCACTAGATGAGGGGACCACAATCCAGAGCTTATATGATCAGAGTATTGTGTCTACACTTACCTCTTTTTCACAACATATTCATTTTATTATAAACCTGTGTTCAATGTCTCCACCTGCCTACTTTCATTATACAATAAACCTGTGTTCAAATCGGAAAAAACTACGGTTTCTATAATTGGTAAAAGTGTCATCCATCAACAATTTCAAAAGGCAATCACACCAAGATTACCTCAAAATTAATGAATCCTTTCCAGTCATTACACGGTGGAGGGGAGATCACAACTCAGAGCGTACATGAACAGCACACGTTTTAATTTTATTATAAATTGTGTTCAAATACTTTATTTATCGTAAATAAGAATGCCTAGTTTCTGTAATTGGGAAAACACTTGGGAAAGATGATTAGCTGCACATTTGCTATTCACTATTAAAACGAAAAATATATAGGTTAAAATTTGCAATCAATGCGAACATATATCAGTTAACTTCCAGTGATACACAACTCCCATTATCATTTCATAAATTAGGTAAAGATCAAGCACAACCAGAATACTAAAACTAGAGGAGTGGAGATAACACCATTTGGTCACATACACAGACTTCTTTCATTATAAGTTGTGACACGGCAACAAACCACCAATTCTCAGAAATAATATCACAAATTAGCACATATGTCTTTTCTCCAGTAACAAACCGTTTTTATTTCTCCGTCAACCTTGTTCTTTATAGTAATTTTAAATATGAGTGTCATAAAGTATCGGCTTAACTGCAAATGCATGCATAAATTAAGCTTACATATCTTGTAATTCAATTGCCACATTATCCAATATTTTTCGAGCTCATCCCTCTTTTCCATGGAAGTTCACTCAGCACGAAACAAATGATCTAGTACTAAAGAATGTCACATTTTTCATTCATGTTGAAACAAATAGATGAAGTGAAGAAAAGGAAACAACTCAATCAACCTTAAGAAGATCAACTTAAGCAAAATAAATAGAGAATTAAACAGTCATAGTGTAACAAATTGCAAGAACCTTCCTGTGAGCGACCAGCATATTCAATAAGTGCATAGAGATACAAAAAACTAGGATAATATGTGAACAAATTATAACGATTGTGCTTACACATTGAGTGAACTCCATTTTCCTGTAGGCATCCCAGCTCAACCTCCCGGTCTCTACTCTTCCCTTTTTGCCATGCTTATTCCCAAATGCTCTTCCTTATCAAGTCCAAATAATAATATAAAAAAAAAAAAAAAA